CCGTACACAAATCCCCCAAAGACCCCTCCTCCACCACACATGCCGGCACTCTGTGCGCCTACCTATCGGCACCCACAAGGCACGCAGTACAACGAATGCACACCTCTGGTCTTACCATACCCTAATCATTTCCATCTTTCAGCGCTGTTCCCGAACAAAGAGATCCCTCAAAGCCCAATGACGAACATGCCGCAAGCATGGATCGGATGCGGCCCCTGGCATCCCCAACCTCACCATCATCGCGCCAACGGCCGTGACAGTCCTGTTTGACACCGTTTCCAGCGAGACCCTCGAAAGCCGCCAGAGACAAGGAAAACACCTACACCGACGTCGTTGGCGATCTTGGGGACTGACACATCATACCCTGTCGAGTATCAACCCAAGCCCTTCTTCAGGTCCGTCGACGCAAGGCATGTCACCGCTCTCCCTTCTCCCTCCTCACCGGATTGAGTACCGAGTTCCATCCAACAACCAACCTTGGCCGCCTACCTAAACTACGTTCCGTTCTTGTTGGCGTTGGTCCTCCTCACCATCCGTCACCTGTCTCGCTTTGCCGAATCTAAACATGGCCTCGCCTAGAGGTTTGCTGATGTCCCGGCACCTAATCGGCACCCGTCTGTCCAACTGCTGCTACTGCATCTACATGCACCTGCACCTGCACCTTGCGTCCTCGTCGCGTGCATAGGCAACGCCAGCACAATCCTGCTGTCGGTACCTCTCCGCCCAATACACCTAACATGCACTGCACCACAAGACCGCTCGAGGATGAAGCACAAGACTTGTACCATCGTCATCGTCAATCCACGGGGGAACCCCCGTGAGCTCGGCCGCCGCGAGCGCAGCGCTCACCATAGCTCCCCATCCCATCAGCCCCCAATATCGAGAATAATAGCAGGGCAATGAATAGATAATTGCTTTTGTTCCTGCCCTGGCGCCTAGTAACCGAGGCCAGTCCCACCTGGCCAGTCCCCTGTGCCGCCTCCTTTACACTTCCACCACCACAAGGAGAATGAGATGCGCTCACTCAGGTGGCTGTCTCTCTCTTGTCTTTCGCCTGTTACTGGGCTGAATTGCTCGCTCCATTCAATCAACGAGGAACGATAATGGGCTTACTCCGTACCGACAACACAAGCAATCGACCCCTTCTCATACACCCTCCCCCCGGCACAGACTTGACCGCCAGCCACCCACCCTCTCCCAAACACTGACACTGGACGCTTTTCAATGGCTCCAACCCAGGCCAAACTCAACGCATCCTCGCTCGACAAACACCCGCGCCGCATCCCACGCCCCCCATCACACGATCGACGCACAAACACACAGACGCACACACCGCACCGGATGCCTATTGCCCCTGGCTGTTCATTCATTGGCCAAGCCGTCTTCCGCCCAAAAGCCTCAAACCACGACGCTAACAGCCTGTCTTGCTTTTTCGAGTGTATCCGCTTCCCGTCTCTCCTATTCGTACTGCATTGTCTCGCCTGCGTCCGTCCCTTTTTAAGCTTCTGTCGCCCTTTCTGAACAGTAATCCGATGCCTGCTGGAGGACGGACTTCAATTTTCACGCCTGCGTTACTGCCAGAGCTGAAGACGCAGACGGAGGCTAGGCGCTTGTATTCCAATGCACCGCTATTTCTTATATCCGCCATCATCCCTTCCCTCCCAACTTCACCCACCCTCCGGTTCTCAGAGAGAAAACTCCCACACTTATCGACTTAATTCGATACTCTTTCGACGGACAAGTTCGGTGCGAACACGCTCGCTTCACGCTTTGTGATCATCGCCAGGGTCGACCATCCAATCCAACAAGGTGACGTCTGTTTTGGGCGGAGCGACTCAGCTATATACCTTTTCGGCACTCCTTTGCGCCAATACCGCGACAGACATAAAGAACACTCGATTCCACGACTGCGTATCAGGGGGGTTTGGGAACAGCCATCGCACATCAAGAGGTGGATGCATCGGCAACGGAAAGGCTGGAGGTAGCCCTGAGAGATCCGGACTTGACCCCGCCGACGACTCGATCGTGAACACACAAGTATCACCAACTGGTACGACCTTCTCGCCACACCCATCAACATGAGGAATCCGAAGCCTCCCACGTGAACCAATTTTTGTCTTCGATTCCAGGCCCAGGCGTCCAGGAGAACGCAGCCGCCATGGCACCCTGGCCCTACACACTGGAAATCCCTGACGCATCGCAACCGCCAGCTGCGACCGCATCCGAGATTATCAGTGCTCGCCGGAGCCCTGCCTGGGACCGCGTTCCAGACGGCCTGACTGACCACCAATGGACAATTATTCAATCAACGTCATTAGCTGTTGCCGCCCTGAGCTTCGCATCCGTCACCCTTGCTTTCTACTGGTTTTCCCGCATGAGACGGAGCTTCAGACATGAGTAAGTCATGCTTTACCCAGACAGCCTCGCTGGAAGGGGTCATGAGCATCAACCGGGAACGTCGCTAACCATGGCTAGTCTCATAATGCTGCTCATGTCGAGCGATATGCTCAAGTCGCTATGGTTCATCATTTTCCCCATCGCCGATTTCAGAAATGGACCGATCCCCTCCAACTCTTCGTTCTGTCAAGCGAGCGGCTTCTTCCTTTCGGTCGGCATCGAAGCATCTGATATTGCCGTCGTTCTCATCGCCTTGCACACGGCCATCTACATTTTCCGCCCCAGATATTCCGGTCGACAAAGCGGCCTCTACCCACACCGCCGGATCGCATTCGCCGTCTTCATCCTCCTGCCATTATTGATGGCCTCACTAGCGTTCATCAACTCACCCGGTTATGCGAACAACGGTGAATACTGCTACTTGCCTGTTCGCCCAGAATGGACCAGGCTTGCGCTCAGTTGGGTCCCTCGATATATGATTCTGCTCACCATCGTCGCCTTATATGCTTATATCTATACTTACGTCACCCTTCGCATTCGACGATTTGGTCGCCTGAGCGCTATGAGAAGAGCGAGTGCGACGCACATGCACGACGATTGGGCTCATATTCCTTCGTTGCCTGCTACCCCCAGCTCACGCCGCGGTTCAGAAACTTCAATGGAGGACTCGGAAAGACAGCGAACTTCGTCAACGACCACCACGATGACGGCAGACATTGAACTCATTCACAGCCGCCAGAAAATTCAGTGGAACTGGCCAACATACGGAAACGAGGACGGCCGCATTCCCGAGCAGGATGAGAGTGTGGAACACACCAGCTTCGACCCCAGCACCAGTCCTCTATCTGCCACGTTCGAGCCAATATCTCCACCTCCGCAAAGTTACATCCGACGGGATACGATCGACCTGAGCCCGTCTTACAACCATCATCCCCACCGTCACAGCTTCAGCACCTACGGCCACCCGCCACACAGCCCGACGACAGCCCGCGCCAAGTCCCTGGCCAACATCTGGTCCATCCTCCGGCGCGGTACAACGCTCGACTCGGATCCCGATCACAATGGCACGCCCTTTCTCTTTCATCCGACCATGGACGGCACAGGCATGGCCAAGACGCGCGACAAGATCCGCCGTCAACTACGTCTACTTTTCGTGTACCCCCTTGTATACATACTTATCTGGGCCGTCCCCTTCGTGGCCCACGTCATGCGCTGGGACAACCCAGAACAAGCCGGCCCGTTTGCGGTCGTGCTCCTATCACTAGTGAGCCTGTCAATACAGGGCCTAGTCAATGCGTGTTTGTTTTGCGCGGTAGAGAAGCCCTGGATCGACAGGAGGGCGAGATACAGAAGAACACTGTCCAAGTTGAGGAGAGACAAGGACGAAGCCCGGCAACGGGTCGGACGACGGACATCGTCATTAGCATAGTCATTTGGTTGCTTCTTTGGCAAGGCGTTCTTTTGATACCACATGAGTTGAATGAATCCATCTTTTTGATTATCTCACTTCATACCCATCGAACATCACGCCACTTTTGAAACATGTAAAACCGTGACGCAAGTGAAGTCTGACGCCACAGTCTTGGCTTCTCGGCGAAGGATCAAATGGCAGTTGACTAACGATTCCTTGCTACTGTCGTCGTCGTCGTCCTTGTTGTTGCCGTCTGTCGGTGTAAGTCTTAGGCTGGCCCGCGCTTTTCCCGGGCGCCTTCTTTCGAGGTGGGTACCGAGGCAACCCTGTTTGGGTCGTCCCGTCCTCGAGGGCCGGCGGTAATCTCGGCCCCACTAGCGCCGTCGGAGGCCCCAAAGCTTCGGGAGAAGCGACATTGGTGAGACGTCGTCCTGTCATCTGCACAACGGGCATCTCGTGATATGCACCTCCATGGGATGGAAAAAACAGGATGAGGCTTTTCGGAGCTGGGAACTGCGATTGTTCGGGTTTTGGAGGGTGATGCTCGTAATGTCGGCTTTTCAGGCCGATGCATTGCACTGGCCCCCTTTTCTCAGCCAAACAGGAATCTCTCATTGTGTTTCTTTTCTTGTCAGTTGAGATGGAAAGCGCTGGATTGGGTATACAGGACGTAGGTAAACTTCGTATGCGAAATTCGGGCTTTTGGGGTTGGCGATGCAAGGCGGAATATTCATCTGGCGTGGGCTTGCATTCTATAGCTTGTTTTGAGTCGAGACGATCTGGAGGTAGTTTGTAGTTTGGTTTTACTCTCTTCGCTGGGGTTTATAAATCAGCGTTGCCGTCATCATCGTCATCGTCATCGTCGTTATCAATATCGTCAACGTCGTTATTGTTGCTGTCGTTTTTATCCTTGCTGTGCTCCTTAACATCTACACCCACTCGGTACCTGCCTGGATTTCAAAACTCTTGCAGATCAATGGGGAAAGAGATGTCTGTAAAAATCTATGTTTCGCTGTGCCATTATAAGAAAGTAACTTCCTGCTGGTGCGGACCAGAACCCGCATAAAGGTCTGTTGGAAAGATTCCCCCAGATCCGTGAAGCAACCTCGCTCCACCAAATGTATGAGAATGCTTCCATATCCCGCGATGAAAAATGCCGAATCAAATTACAACCCAAAATGCCGCGCGAAAATCAGACCCTTACCCAACGGCTCGCAGCCTGTGCAGCCTCCGCAGCATCCTCTTCCTCATCCTCGCTAGCCTCCTCCTCCTCGATCTCTTCGATCAGCTGTGCGCACTTGGCCTTGTACGCCTCCGGCGCCGTGTGCATCATGATTTCCCACTCGCTCATGAGCTTGGTCTCATGTTTGTCATCTTGAAGCCTGTGAGCGACCTTCTCCGCCTTGCTTTCCTGCAGATCCTCGATATATTCGTCTATGGTGTCGGCAGCCTTGATGACGAAGGCGTAGGTGCGCTTCTTCTGGCCGTTGCGGTCGATGCGGCCAAAGGCCTGCAGCTCGGCTGCGTTGTTCCACCAGTTGTCGATGATGATGAGGCGGTTGGCACAGGTAAGGTTGAGGCCTTCCTTGCCTACGCGAGACGAAAGCTAGTGGTTGAAGGTGGTCAGCGGTCTGCCCTGTTTGCTAAGCATAGATGGCTGGAAAGGGGTACTTACCAGGACTTTTACGGTAGGATCGTCCGTGAATCTTTTGATGGCCTTGGGCCGCGCGGAGTCGGATAACTCGCCGTTCAGGTAGACGAAGGGGATGTTGGCTTCGTTGAGCGCCATGCCGAGGATCTTGCCCGTCTTCGCAAACTCGTGGAAGACTGCGACGAGAATAGGTTAGCCTAACCATTTCAAAGGGGCTCAACCGGAAGAGCCAAGAGAACATACTGATAATCTTATCATCTGGCGTTTCGCTCTGCCATCGGGTGAGGATGTCCATGGCGCAGGCCGTCTTGGAGCTGTGCAGAACGGCACCGTTGGCCTCATGGGTTCCGACGCGGATGAAGCTCGAGTGATCCCCCTTTAGATCCATAAAGACGCCGTTGGCATCCACTCCGTACTTCTTCTTGGTGTAATCCTTCTCGATCTTCTTTTTCTGCTCTTCGGTGAGCTTCTTGTTCTTTTTCGGCTTCTTAGGGGCTCTCTTCCCCTTTTTCTTGAGAGCCACGGCGGCGGGTGGAGCCGATTCTGCTTCCTGAATGGCAGTGCGCTTGTCGACCTCGACGTACTCTGCCTCCTTAGTAGTGAGACAGGCAACTTCGTGGGCTCCCTCTTCTTTGTCGTAACCCTTGCCACACGTGGGACACTTTCCATCAAGAGCGCTTCTCCAAGTCTTGGAAACGCACGCATAGCAAAATAGATGGTTGCACTAGAGCGGGAAAACAGTCAAGTCTCAGATTTGAAATGTGTCGGAGAGGGGTTGATCTTCGACTTACCTCGGTGATGACCCACGGAGTTTCAATATCTTCTTTTCCGCACTTGTTGCACTTTTCGTGATCAACGATATGCTCATTGACTGCATATTGCAAGAGGCTCTCCATGCCAAGTTCCCTACTTGTCGTCTTGGGGTGAAAGGTCCTGGACGAGTGTTTTCTGCTGGCCTTCCCTTTTGTGGTCTTCACTGTCTTTAGCTTCCCTTTCGTCTTTGACTTGGTCCCCTTCGGCTTAGTGAGCGCATTCTTTTCTGACGAGTCATTCTTGCTAGAATGGCTGGAGTTCTCTGTCTTCGGGATTGTTTCCGGAATGCGAGGAGATATCTGTTCATCTGCGAGGAGATGGGCCTTTCCAGCGAGTTTGATCAATTTAACTCTTATGTCGGTGAGATAATGAGGGTTGAAGTCAACCCGCAAAGCTCGTTCCAAATTCCAAGCATGAGAAATGAGCATGCGTTGGCAATGCATGCCCCCCAGCTTGTTGGGTGGAATCGTGAGGGCGTAATGCTCAGTGACCGCGCTGATGATCAAGTCAGAAGAAGAACGTGTTACAATGCGATATGCGTTTGACTCACTCGTAGATCATCCGCTCCTGCTTGCTTAGATGCACCCAGATCTCTTGTGCTTCAAAGTTCGGAAGACATTCCATCATTGGCCGGCCAAGGAACTCGTCTTTCTTGGTTCTGGAATCATGCTGTCAGCCTTTAATGCAAACCCACGGGCAAATATTGTGTTCACCTTCGGTAAGTGATGAGATGGATCAAAGCATCTAACTTGGTCTGACTGTCATGCTAATTCACATATAGTTAGTGGCGCCTACAATAACCTCAAGGTGGCTTCGGGAGTGATTACCGGTTTGAAAAACCTGTTCTTCAAGTCATTCAATGTCTGAATGCCCTCTACTCCCAGGAGCTTGATGTAAGGGAATATTTCTGCGTGTGTGTTAGCAGAAGGTCCGAGGCAGCAAAGGCGTGAGAACACTTGCCCCTTTCTTGATTGACCAATGGGGTCGCTGTGAGGCCAAAGAATGCTTTTTTTTGAAGACCATAGCATGATCTGAAGGCTAGTGCACCGTTAGCCAAGGATAAAGATGAACATGACATGCGCAACTCACACAGAGTGTTCTGGTTCTTGATGGCGTGGCCTTCATCCAGGATGATCCTGTACCATTTGACACCGAAGATCGCGCCAGCGATTTCCGCCAGTGCTTCACGGTACTCCTTGGAGCTCCGTCCATGCTCCTGGTCAAGCTTCTGCAACGTGTCATCATCAGGATATTGGCGAAGCTCAGCGATGGTAGTCAAGCTATTCAAATGGTTAGCGTGCCGCAGCAACTGATAGAGAAATCCGCCATAACTTACACCACCTTGTACCTGGTAAGAGTAGTGAGGTCCCCGCCATCTTTCTTGAACTGGGTGTTGTGCCAGGTGAGAATATGTTGGTCCTTGATGACTTCAACGTGCCTTTTGAACTCATTTCGCCATTGGTCACGTATGTCCACGGATGGCAGAATGATCAACGTGGTGCCCGAGAACTCCTCGCGGTCTTGCTGTGTAGGAGGGTTGCCAACAATGCATGCCATGGCAATCATGGTCTTGCCGAGACCCGTATCATCGCAGAGAAGACCTCCATAGGGAGGCGCTATGCCACGTTCTCTCTGCACCATCCATGACACAGCAGGAAGCTGCTCTTCCTTGAGTCGGTTATCCGGTCGCATTCCTTTCAGGTGATATGTTCCGTTTGCGAAGCACTTCACCTTACTGTTTCCGAAAATACCCGTCGCTTCTTTCAAATCCCGTTTCTGAGTTCCTGATCTCCTGTTGTTCGTTCCATGACTCACACGACCCTTCAAGTCTTCGTCGCGTTCTTTTTGAGTGATTTGGCGGTCGTCGTGTCCGAGATTGCTCGGCTTGTCGCGATCATCAATTTCCATATTGTCAGTGTCTGCCAACGTGTTCTTGCTTTTCTTGAAGCGGATGCACAGTCTCTTTGCCCTTGGCGGTTCAATGTCCACATCAAGCTCACCAAATTGCCTCTTTCTCACAAGCTCATTTCTGATGTGATTTTTGAATGCTCTGTCGAGACGACTCTGCTTCTTGCCGACCTTATCCTGGGCGGTCTTTGCGACTGGTCCAGTCGCTTTCGCCTTTCTCTTCGGCTTGGACTTTTGTTCTTCATCCGGCGAGTCCTCATCCTGGTCTTCGCTGTCGCTGCCGTTCTCTGGTTGAAAAGTGACATCGGCTGTGTCTGATTCCGGCTCAGTTTCCGAGTCCGACGAATCTTCATCTTTAGTGTCAGATTCGTCGTTCTCTCCCTGTGCCTCACTTGGGCCATGCTGAACAATGCTGGGAGCTGCAGAAGCTTGATTCTCTGTCGATTCGGTAACGTCAATTTGTTCAGCCAGCAGCTGCTGCTGAATGTCTGGTACGTCATCCTGGGACTCATGTGCCTTTGGACTCGTGCTTGGCACATCTTGATTGGGTGGGAATTCTCTGGTAGAAGCAGGATCATCCGAATCGACAAGATCCATTGTGACGCTGTAATGCTCGGCTGTGAATGAACGATGATTGACAGGCGAACGACTGGAGAACGCTGCCGGCGAGTGACTGAGATGTGGATGAGAAGGCAGAGTCTGGTAGCTGAGGTGCAAGGTGAGGTTCGACGACGGTTGAAAGAGAGATAGAGGTGGAGGTGGAGTGAGAACGAGATTGCCTGAAATATACTCAAACTGAACTTGCGTTCTCAGTCGTTCTCAGTTTGCGCAAGGGAAAACGGGGAGCATGAGAAAAGAGTAGAAATTGGTGCGGATGGATTGTGGATAGAGGATGAGAAGAGGAAGCCGGGGGCTTTTAGTTGGGTACGATGTCAAGAAGAGAGCAATAAAATGTTGTCTGCTCAGAACAGCTGGTGATTGCCGACTGGGTGTTGTGAAAGGTGGTTTGTTGGCGAAGGTGGAGATGTGAAGTTGTTCGGATGGTGGAGGTCGTGGTTGAAATAGTTTTAGAAGGTCCTGAGGCTGGTATCAAAAAGATTGGAGAAGGTGCAAAGGGGAAAGATTTGGAGTCTCTGCGGGAAGTCAGGGGCTCACAGCGAGTTGGGGAAGGAGCGAAGCTGATGTCTTGTGGCTGGTGAGGTTGCGCTTGGGTGAATAATGTCGCAAGTCAAGTCATCATACTACCATGTAGTAGTAGGAAGAAACAAGCTTTGAACCCTTACGAGGTGGTTGTGAAGGAGATGGCTCAACAACCTCGCGATGTGTTGGTGGAAGTTTGTGGTGAGAGTGGACGATTGGTACTCCCGTTTAAATAGAGACCTGGCAGCCACAGAAAGAGGCTAAGGTATTGCAGTCCTTGAAATGGAAAGAGCGAGACCACTGGAGGCTTCTCTTTCCTGCTTTATCTTTAAGATCTTCGACATGAAGATTTGAAGACTTTGAGTTGGGAAGGCACAAGGGAATACTAAGAACGCCTCTTCTTTGCTGGTTTATGAGCAGACACCATTATTCCGCGATGCTTAAGCGGCAGCTATAGTCTACGAAAGAGGCAGCTTTTATTCGACTGCTTGTTTCTTAGTGATTAGGTGAGTTGTGCGCCTACACCAATGTGCTTATCGACAGAATCCAAACAATTAGTCTCAAGATTGGATCGGATTCTGCGACTTCCTTTTTGGACATTGTCCTCTCCAGGGGTGCCTGCCGCAAGGATCCGAAGCTGGTGATGTTTCGGTGTGCCCTTCGGTGAGCTCGGTCAGCCCACACCGCCTTCGGCAGAACGCAAAATCTCCACTAAAAAATTGACCGTCGCTCGAACCCCACATGGATTTTTCCCATGCGCCCGCGACCAAAAGCCGGTCCTCTTCTCCCAACACCACCGTCAATTGACGACCACACAATCCACCCCCCCAAACACCGCCACCATGTCAAAATCAAGCAAGAATGGCAAGATCACCGACTCGCGGTTCTCCAGCTTCGAGACCGACCCGCGCTTCCGCCTGCCCTCGAAGAAGCAAACAAAGACCAAGATCGACAAGCGCTTCGCCGGCGTGCTGAAGGACGACGCCTTCACGGCCACCGCAAAGGTCGATCGCTACGGCCGCAAGATCAAGTCCGACTCGAAGAAGAAGGCGCTGCAACGGCTCTACGAGGCGGAAGATGACGAGGAGGAGGACGAGGAAGAGGAGGAGGGTGGTGATATGGAGGTGGACGCCGACGACGTGGTGCAGCGCGAGCTGGCCAAGGCGGATGCAAAGTACGACCCTGCGCGTGGCGGCGGCTTCAGCGAGTCCGAGTCAGAATCGGAGTCGTCGGACGACGATGATGACGAGGAGGAGGCGGAGGTTGTCGCGGACCCGAAGGCGTCCATGTCGCGGCTGCGCGACGAGCAGGCCGAAGTCGAGGACGGCGAGGTCACGACGCGGATAGCGATTGTCAACCTCGACTGGGACAACATCAAATCGGCAGATCTTTTTGCGCTATTTACGAGTTTCCTGCCGTCGACCGGCGGGCGGATCGAGAAGGTGGCCATCTACCCCAGCGAGTTCGGCAAGGAGCGCATGCAGAGGGAAGAGCTTGAGGGTCCCCCGAAAGAGATTTTCAAGAGCGACAGTGATGAGGAGAGCGAGGAGGAGGAGGACGAGGCGATCAAGAAGGAGCTGCTGGAGGAGGGCGACGCCGAGGACTTTGACAGCGACGCGCTGCGTAAGTACCAGCTCGACCGGCTGAGGTATTACTACGCCGTCATGACGTGCTCGGACAAGGCGACCGCGCAGAAGGTGTACGAGGCGACCGACGGCACCGAGTACCAGTCCTCGTCCAACTTCCTCGACCTGCGCTTCGTGCCCGACGACGTTACCTTTGACGACGAGCCGAGGGATGAGTGCGACAAGATGCCGGAGGGATACAAGCCCGTCGAGTTCACCACCGACGCGCTGCAGCACTCCAAGGTCAAGCTTACCTGGGACGTCAACCCCGACGACGCGGCGCGCAAGGCGTCCATCAACCGCGCCTTCACCGGCAGCCGTGCCCAGCTCGAGGAGAACGATCTGAAGGCGTACCTTGCCAGCGACAGCGAAGACGATGGAGAGTCTCTTGCCGGTGTCGAGGAGGAGAATGAAGAGGAGGCCGAAGAGAAGGAGGAGGAGCCCAAGCTTTCCAAGAAGGAGCTCCAACGCCGCAAGATGAGAGCGATGCTCGGCCTCGGCGCGGAGGAGGAGAAGAAGTCCAAGGACGCCCCCGTAGGCGACATGGAGATCACCTTCACGCCCGCGCTCACAGAAACCAAAAAGGAAAAGAAGGAGGGCGAGGAGGAGACCACAATCGAGAAGTACAAGCGCAAGGAGCGCGAACGCAAGGAGAAGAAGCGCGAGATCGCCAAGGCCAAGCGCGGGGGCGCAGAGACCGAGTCAGACGTCGAGGTCGAAGAAGCCGCACCCGCCGTCGGCGAGGAGGACCTCGGCTTCGACGACCCCTTCTTCACGACCGAGGAGCCGCCTAAGAAGACCAAGACCTCGCTCCGCAAGGAGGAGCGCCTGGCCAAGCGCGCGGCGCGCGAGGCCGAGGAGAAGGCGTCCGCCGAGCAGAAGGCGCAGCTGAAGCTGCTCATGGCCGACGACGGCGACGAGGCGGGCGAGCACCTGGACCACTTCGACATGAACGAGATCCTCAAGGCGGAGAAGGCGAAGAAGAAGAAGGGCAAGGGCAAGAACAAGAAGGGCAAGAAGGCCGGCGGCGATGACGACGACGACAAGGTCGGTCTGCAGGAGGGCTTCAAGATCAACGTGGACGACGACCGTTTCAAGGCTGTCTTCGAGAGCCACGAGTATGCCATCGACCCGAGCAACCCCAAGTTCAAGAAGACCGAGGCGATGCAGACTCTGCTCGAGGAGGGCAGGAAGAAGAGAAAGGTTGGCGATGACGAGGCGCCTGCGGAGAGGAGCGGGAAGAAGGCGAAGAAGGAGAGCAAGGGTGGTGACGCGGAGCTGAGCGGACTTGTTGCGAGTGTTAAGAGGAAGGCCAAGGCTGGTAAGAAGTAAAGGATGATGTTGGAGGTCTCTTGTTTCGTGCTTATTTGAGGCGTGTGGTCATACCCTAGATGGATCCTAAAAGTTACTGGAATGTATAAAAGCACATGGTCATAATGCACAGCTGTTAAAGGTGATGATCTGGTTTGTGATGCTTCCGACGCTATGCTGCCAATGGGTATCCTATATTAACAAACGCTTTTAGACAAAAGTCTGACAGAAACCTGAACTCCCAACTTTCAAAACATGTTGCTGTGCCGCTCCAAAGGTGACATGATTCCAACACCGAACGTCCGAGACATGGTATTTGTTTTCCTACACAGAACATCTGTCAGCTCATTGAGGCCTTCAGTGCTCGAGGAAGAACCGGGCTGCGCTAGGTCCCATTAAAGCGCGTGAATCTACCCGCACCCTCATCAAGGACTCGAAGCAAGTCTTTGTGACATTCCAGGCATACAGAGTACGGTCCCTAGGCAAGACCTGGTGTCTAGCCCTTTCGATCACCTCTGGCATTGTTGGCCGAATATCGAGGCTGTTCCTGGGAGAGTCTTTGAACCTCACCTGAATCGGGTTCGTTGCATCTCGGGTGGGTCATTGCGAGCATCAGAGGGCCGGCGCTGGAATGCTTCATCTTGGTCGGCCTGAGCCTCCCTGGGCTCCTCTTCTGGGCTGTCCGTCACAGGCTCATCTTCTGGGTCATCGGCCATGGGCTCATCGTCGTCATCATCCCCATTCGGTTCATCCCTGGCATCATCACCCCCGGGCTTATCCTCGTCGTCAACCTCCTCGGGCTCATCTTCTGAGTAGTCTTCTTCGCTCCAATATGCAGCATTCTGATCGTTGGGATGGATTGAATCAATACGATGGGGATAGGGCTAGAAGAGTTCATGTGGTCGTTAGTCTTGAAATATAGACGTGAAGATACCACAAACTCACATTCCACCGCCGACTTTGCCCTCCAACCCGCCTGCGACGCTCTCGATCCCGTTGCTGATTTGCTCTTCTAGCACCGGGAGTGGGTGACCCTGGCGAGGATGAGTTTTGCTGCCAGGATGTATGCGAGGGCGGCGGAGTCCCAGGGCGGTTAGGCGAATCAGAGTTTTCTCCAGCAACGTTCGGAGTCCGGGGAGGAATGTGAGTCGGAGGATCCTGTCGCTGATGCTGAGGAAGAGGTGGAAGCTCTGGGGAACGAGACGGAGAATGGTACGGATGAGTGGGAGTGGATGGGTGCTCCGGGATGGTAGACAGAGCGCGAGACGGAGGACGAGGCGTAGGTTGGTGTGTCTCACGAACTTCGTCACGAACCCAATCTCCAGGAACATGGGGTGGAAGTTCCGGAGAAGAAGACTTAGGAGCCTCTTGACGAAGACAAGTAAACGAGCCAGAGGTAAGACCAGACTGAAGCTGCCCAGCATTTGGAATATCCGCGGAATTCGGGCGAGGTGGGCGTTCAGGAGTTGGTGACTGGGGAGGAATGCGACTTAATCCAATCCGGTCTTGTTGGTGAGGAGCCCATGGAGGCTCTGGGTACAAAGTCGAGACCGGAGGAGGAGGAGTAGATGGCTGCTTCGGGGACAGAATCGGAGACGGAGTAGAAGGAGTGGATGAGCGCTCTGAGATAGGAGACAGATTCCGAGACGGAGGAAGCGGTATATGACGAGCAACATCCAGGCATGGGTAAGTCGACAAATTTCGAGGAATGTGAAGTGGAAGTGTCGGAGAAGGAGGGAGAGGAGGAGGTTGATGAGAACGAGTAGAAGAATCAGGGGGAACGCCTGAAGGCTGAGATTGACGCTGCTCGGGAGTTGGGACATCCGCGGGATCCGGGCGAGGAGGGCCTTCGGGAGCTGTTCCAGGTTGAGGCCGGCGAGGCGGAAGAGGAGGGGGGTTCTCCTTCTTGCCAAAAAGGTATTCCATCCAAGTATCGGGGCCTTGAGACTGAGGATCCACGCGTGGTCCTCCACTGGATTCGCCGGTATCTGGGTCCCAATTGTTGTTCTGCTCGTTTCTCCCGTACTGAGCACTCATGTGCCACCAAAGAAGTGGGATTATGATGAAACCAGCTCCAGCGCAACCACAATAGAAAGCTGGCCATATATATCTTTCTAGGGCTGATGAGGGAGCCATGGCGATGCTGAGAGATGTATGTGTTATGAATGAGTGTATGACGGATGGATGTTGCTGCTCGGATGATGATGTCGAGTCGAGTGAGGTGGAAGTTTGACGATGTTGACGAAGATAAAAGCATGGTAAAGGAGGCAGTATGAAGGGAGGAGCCTGGCTGGACTTTCTACATGGGATGTTATATAGTGTTGGGTAGTCACGATGGGGGAGGGTAGGTGTCATTGGCATCCAGGGGCAACCACTACCCATTCTCAGTTGCCAAGTCAGTTCACCAAAACCACACGAGGAAGTAGACATTGCGCATAAGGGAAAGAACCCCCCAATTCTTAGTGAGCAGACACAGTTGCTATAACTTTTGTTTATCATGAATCTTCAAAGACATTAATATTCTATCCTTTATCGGACAGTAGCACCCTTCAAGCTGGGAACAGTGCAGACACCACCAGACTCGGTGACCAGTCTGCCAACACCCTCCTTGCCAAGCTCCTTGACAACAGCGGCGTCAAAGGCGACCTCGAGGTTGTCGGTGGTGGTGAATCCAGGCTGGAACATCTCCCAGATCTTCTTCTTGGGGTTCAGAACACCCTCAGGCTCGCCCTTCCAGCCCTCGAAAAAGACGCGCTCGCCAGCCTTGGCGTCAGCGGGGGGAGCAGCAAGCTCAACGGGGCCCTTGTGGTCGTCGACCTCGCCCTCCTTGAGCTTAGGAGAGGCGGCGAGAACCATGGCGCAGGACTTGATGCCGCGCATCTTGACGGGCTTGAGGTTGGCAACGACGACGACCTTGCGACCCTGCATCTCCTCGAGGGGAACGAGACCGTTCAGACCAGAGCAGACAGTACGGCAGACCTGGCCCTCGTACTCGGAGGTGTCGTCGTTGGGCTTGTCGCCCATGGCGATGGTGGAAACGTAGAGGGAATCAGCCTCGGGGTGCTTGATAGCCTTGAGAATGTGACCGACACGGAGGTCGATGAGAGCGGGAGACAGAGGGGCAGCAGGAGCAGGGGCCTTCTGGGGCTTGGGCTCCTTGGCCTTCTTCTCCTTCTTGGGCTTGCCCTCGCCGGCGCCGACAGCAGCCTTGACCTTGTCCTTGGCCTCGGTGACGGCCTCCTTAACCTTCTCGCCAGCGCTCTTGTCCTTGGGCTCCTTGGTGCGGTCGGGGAGAGCGGTCTCCTTCCCACCAGCAGCAGCGGCCGCAGCAGCCTTCTCCTTCTTGAGGCGCTCCTTCTCGGCCTTGGCATCGACGGGGGGCTTCACGTAAAGAACCTCATCAAGGTTGACGGAGACCTTCTCCTCGGACTTGACATCGGCGGCGAAGGCGGGGTAGTTCTGGACGAAGTCGAGGTGACGGACAATGTTGGGGTAGCCCTTCTCGCCGGTGCGCTGCTCGGGAGACCACTTGGCGACAAGGGGGCGAACGGCGGAGTAGAGGGCGGTGTCGGCCTTGCTGGGCTTGGTGCCGAGAAGGGTGGTTCGGGTGCTCAGGTGGGAGTTGACGGTGTCGAGGATCGGGGACGCATCGTCACCAGTGGCCTGCTGGAGGCGGGTGGCGGTGGTGAGCCATTGCTGGATCTCAGTCTCCTCGTTGGGAGTGAAAGAGGTGTTGGAGACCATTCTTGCGAAGCGGAAGGGGTATGCGCTGCGAGTGATGGGTCGTAGTACGCGGAGGGAGTTCATGAGTCGAAGGGCGAGGAGGGGTACAGTCAGGAATCACAGAATTTTAGTGTGGTTTTGGCGGGGTAACACGGACAGGCGCTGCGACTGCCCCTCCAAATTCATCTGACTTGCCTGATTGGTTAGGCAGGCCTGACTCACCTCGCTCTTCCTCGGTGAGCCTCGGTGTACGCTTCCCGGTGTCTTTTCTTTTTCAGCAGAATTTTCTCAATGCCACCCTCCCCTGCTCATAGTCAAGTTCAGCTGGACAAGCATCATGGTGAAAGCGCTGAGCTTGCTTCTTTGTCAGTTGCCCATGGGGACTATGCATTGTTCATTGGAAGAGTCGTTGCTTTCAAGCTCGTCGTCCTGTCTCAATGCGAGTAACAACCAACATCTTGCAGAGGTCAATCGGCACCGGGATGCTTCTTTTTTTTTTGAATCGACGCAGTAAAACAAGACCCCGATCTCTGTCCCGATCTTCCCGGACACCGATGGCCCGATGAATGACGATAGTGTCTGGACAAAGCGACCAGGGTCTTAATTAGTTCAGTGACACGGAGTCACATGACTCCGCCTTTGTCTCGCGTCCGCGCGCGTCCTGAATTTTGCCCCCGGATCGCGCCTTCCCATTGACAGGACCCTGGACCTTCCTGCCATTCATCTTTCCTCCTCGCCCCCCTTTCTTTCCATTTGACCTCTCGAAAACCTGGAATCCCTTTCCAGACTCGTATCCTTGTATCTCGACCCTCCTTTCCCTCAATTTTGGCTCATTGTATCCTCAATTGCCTCTTTCCTCAGCCAGATTTTGCTGCCGCTGCGGCGCACGAACCACCTCAATTTAGCGTTGCACCTGCAGCTTCGTCATCGATTTGATTGGCACCTCCTGCCTTTTCCCTTTTCTTGAGCAACAACGACCACCAGCAACTCGGCCAGCAGAGGCTTCTGCAACTCCGCAGTCATGAGCTCTTCACCAGCGTCAGACGTAGAGTCTGTCCTCTCAAAGACTTCCAGACCCTACACTAGCGCTCCATCCTCACCCCCGAGAGAGGGCTCCGTGGAAGCGATTGACAGCGATTTTCAACGCATGATCGACGAGGAAGAGAAAGTCAGAGTCACCAACGATGCTGCCGAGAAGAAACGAAAAGCTGCACTTCTTGCCAAGCGCCGCAAGAAGAAGAAGGTCGAATTCACCAAGGAGGAGAGAGAAAAGAAGGCCAAAGAGCTAGATGACCTTCTCGCTAAGTCTGCGGCCTTCTCGGACATCTTGACAAAGAAGACCGAGGTTCTGGGTCGAGTTGGTTCCAGCTTGGAGGGAGAGACTCTAGGAGCCCACGACTTGACCATGGCTGCGCAACCGAAGATTATGAAGGGGGGAACCATGAGAGACTATCAGCTCGAGGGGTTGACATGGATGTATGAGGTGTGCCTTCAAGGCATGTCCGGAATCTTGGCCGATGAGATGGGTCTAGGTAAGTGATATACCCCAGCGTGTGCAAAGGTGGTCAGGCACTGACAATTTACAGGCAAGACTGTCCAGACCATCTCACTCATCGCCAAGCTCCGAGAGGAAGATTACCTCGGCCCTCATCTCATTGTTGCCCCTTTGAGCACGCTTTCAAATTGGATGGATGAGTTTGAGAAGTGGTGCCCTGAGATCCCGGTCGTTCTGTATCACGGCGACCCTAAGAATCGAGAACGTGTCATGAAGGACCAGATCGCCAAGCACTACGTTAAGAACCAGCCAACGAAGCGATTTCCCGTCGTCTGCACTTCCTACGAGATGGTCCTGAGAGAGAAGGCTGCCCTGTCCAAGTTCAACTGGGCCTTTATTATCATCGTACGTCTTTGCGTCCACCAGGTCTGATAGGTGTGGATCACTGACTGTTGTCTAGGATGAAGGTCATCGCATGAAGAACTTCGAGTCGAAGCTTTTCCAAGAGCTCGAGAACTTCCGCTCAGCCACAAGGTTGCTCATCACTGGAACGCCTCTGCAGAACAACCTCAAAGAGCTGTGGGCGCTGCTTCACTTCTTGCTCCCGGGCATCTTCAAGGAATGGGAAGTCTTCGAGAGCTGGTTTGACTTCGACGATCTGCAGGACGAAGAAGGCACGGAAGAATTCATCGCGGACCGCAAAAACCAGGAGATCATCAAGAAGATCCACGTCATCCTGCAACCGCTTCTCCTTCGTCGAGTCAAGGCAGATGTCGCGGCCTACTTGCCCAAGAAGCGGGAGTACATCCTCTTTGCTCCCATGACAAAGGAGCAAACGGACATGTACAACGCGATCCAGGATAAGAAGGTCGACACCCGCACTTTCCTCGAGAACAAGGTCGTCGAGCGCCTCACCGCAGTGAACAAGTCTACCCCAAGCTCCCGCGAAGGAAGCGTCCGTCCGAAAGTCAAGGCAGAGGAGGAAACGCCGGCAAAGAAGCTCGAGATCCCCATCCGCAACAGCCCTAGAAAGGCCAAGTCGGAGGCCGCTTCGGAGCCCAAGAAGACGAACGCATTTTCGGCGATGATGAACAGGGCTAGAAGCTCTTCATCCAAGCCCAAGGATGTCGCCAAGGAGACGCCCGTTAAGACCGCGTCTCGTTCAAGTTCCAAGCGCAAGAACCCACCCACTGCCGAGACTCCTGAACCAAAGAGCGCCAAGTCATCACGTCAATCCACCCCCTCTGTGACTAGCCGAGGCCGCGTTACCAGAGGTCGTCGCCGCTACGCCGAGACTGATGCCGACGATGAGGACAAGCTCTCTGATGACGAGTTCGAGGCTCGATTGGTCAAAGAGGCCGAGGAAGACGAGAAGGATGAAGATGATGTTGTCTTGTCTGCGGAAGACCAGTACAATAAGAGTATCACGGAGCACGCGAAAAAGGAGCTGGCGACCAAGAAGCTGGGCAACCCGATCATGCAGTTGCGCCTGGTTTGCAACAGCCCGCACAACTTCTTCGATCCCTGGAGCTACGAAGGCGCGCCTCCTGTCGATGAGAGCATCGTCACGGCCTCTGGAAAGATGTTGCTTCTTGACAGACTTCTCCCTACGCTATTTGAGAAAGACCACAAGGTCCTGATTTTTTCCCAGTTCAAGACGCAACTGGACATTCTCCAAGACTATTGCGAGTTGCGCAAGTGGAATGTCTGCCGCCTTGATGGTTCAGTCAGCCAGGAAAGCCGTCGCGACCAGATTAAGGAATTCAACGAGAACCCCGAGTTCAGAATCTTCCTGCTTTCGACCCGCGCAGGTGGCCAGGGCATCAACCTCGCCAGCGCCGATACTGTCATCCTCTTCGACTCTGACTGGAACCCCCAACAAGACCTCCAAGCCCAGGACCGATGTCATCGCATTGGCCAGACTCGCCCTGTCATTGTCTACCGCCTTGCGACCAAGGGAACCGTGGAGGAGGAGCTGTTGTTGAGCGCAGACGCTAAGCGCCGCTTGGAGAAGCTTGTCATCAAGAAGGGAAACTTCAAGTCGATGGGCCAGAAGATGGATCTGAAGGAAGATCTCGACGAAAAGACTCTCAAGACATTGTTGCTCAAGGATGGCCAAGTATTCAAGTACTCGGGCTCTCACGAAATTCTGAGCGACAAAGATCTTGATGTTCTTTGCGATAGGTAAGATGATCGCTGGTCTTTGGTAAGAAACATCATGCTAACATCTGTACAGGAGCGACGCAGCATATGATAGGGCCGCCGAGGGCTCCGGCAACGCCGATGGCTACAAGGTCATCGAGACTGGCACCGATGGCATCACGATCGCCGGCCAGGCCAACGCATAATTTGGTTCAACAGATGACATATGCTTGCCCGATCTCGGCAACTCGTCCCTCTCGACTTTCCGATATTGTTTTACTATGGGCTTTGGAGTATGGCTAAGGATTTCGAACCGATGTCTCTAGACATAAAGAGAGTGTGTGGATAGCGAGACTTGATATTTGCTTAGTTGTGCCCAAGCGTGGCATTGGATGGTTTGAAAGACGGACGGCCACAAGCATTGGAATTGTGTGTCCTAGACGTGGCATGCTTCCCTCGAGGAGCACCTACTACTCTTGTGTTTCTCCCAACAGGGATTGGAGTTGTATACCCAGAAATGATAAAATGACTTGGTTGATCTACTCATTTACTACATCACGTTACAATCAGACATCAGATGTGTCGCGAAAAAGTTACGGGCTAACCTTACGAGTTTATCCAGGCGGGTGAGGAACGACAACAGGGGGCGACGACGAAGGGGACGACGACGATAGAGACGATGACAACGGGCCCGGAATGCAAAGCTCTACATGAATCTCATTGAGGTTTAATAGAAGAATACTCACAATCGAATAACATTTCACTCAATCCAGCTGACGGTCTGCCATCTCTTCGTCCCCCCATATAACCCCTTCTCGACCACCATTCGTTCCAGCCAATAGCCAACGGCAAAGATCTGGTCCCCGATGTCCATAAGCAAGCTCGAAAGCACGCGCGCCACGGCTCTCTGCAAATACGCCCGATACGTTTCGACAAAGATGGCGTAAAGGATGACGCAGTACCCTGCCATGGCCAGCCACACCGCAAACACCAAATACTTACTCTCCGACCGTAGGACCTTGCGGTCGATCCCGTCGCATATCGTTACCGGCGCGGCGAGTAGGAACGTCCTCAACCGCCTCAAGAACCCCTGTATCAACGCAGCCGGGCCTTCCTGGAGAATGTCAGCAGCCCACCACACGCCCTCGGAGACCTTCCCAACAACCCAGACAAGCAAACCAAAAACGCCGGGCAAAACCAACTTCAGGCTCAAACTAAGAAGCAGCGGAACATGCCACACACCGATCCAGAAGCCGTACAAGTGCGCGAGCTCGTCGAGCTGCCGGTTGTGCGGATTCAGCCACCAGCACACGTAGATGGGGCCGCAGAGGTTGGGCAGCAGGAAGAACCCGCCGAGGTAGGCGTCGAGGAGGAGGCGGTTGATGCGGCCGATGCGCTCGCAGCTCTCGTGCTGGCGGAGCTTGCGGAGGTGCGCGCGCAGGCCGGTGGCGCGGATGAGGATGTAGGCGTTGAGCCAGAGGGTGATGTAGATGGAGGCGGTGGAGATGAGGTGATATGCGGCGGAAATGTCGGAGCGGTAGAACCAGCGCTCAAGGGGGCGGGAGGGGAGGGAGGTAAGGTAGGTTAGCGCGCGTATTCCATAGTGGAGATGGGTGAGCATGGTGACTCTGGGGGTTGGAGGGTTTCGGAAGAGATGTTGGTTTGGCTTGCTAGATCTTGGTACAGCAATTCGTGACGTAGCCGAGATAGGGACATATGGTTTGCTGCAAAGAGCCCAGATGGAGCCATGCTCTCTTAAGGTAAGACGCCACAAAGAATGCCATTTCAGCTTGTGTTGATGTCTGTGTAAATGGTTGTTGTCTGTATGGTCAAGACAAAGCAAGATAAGTGGTCGATCAGCACAACAACGGTGTTTCTTTTGTTGTTGAAAACCCCTTGTTCGTAGATTTTCTAACTTGTAGACAGATCTGAACAATATTAGTTGGGGAAGCAGGAGCATAGCCTTCTCGTAGGCTAATGGCCATTAATTAGGCAGCTGCTTCGTATGAGCAGACGAGACGGTCTCTCGGAGTCCTTACGGGCAATGCGGGAGATGCGGCCGCAGCGGCCGCAAAGTCCGAGCCCCGGAATTGAACCCGCCTTCAGATGTAGCCCATCAGCCAACGTCCTGTCCGACTTGTACACAACCGTCAGGGGCATAGGTTACTGATGAAAAACTGACATTACTGTGAAACCTAGCAAATTTGTCGCTCAAGGCTCAACTTGACATTGATTATTCTGGTGGAGGGGACGAAGAGCCAATCCCAGACATTGGTTCCGCACCACTGCCGGACTTTAGACATGGAGATGTAGAATCATGCATGGCATCCCATCGGGAGCAATGGTTTTCAGTGGAGCATTCATGAAATCAATTTATCAAGACTGCGGTGAGACCAGATTCGAAAACCATATATATTTCTTGCCATGGCAAATGGAAGGTTGGAGAGCCTCTTGCTAAGGTAGTTTACCTACACATCTCTTTTCACGAACCTCACAGCTTTTCTGCAAATCAAGCTTGCCCTAGTGATCGTTCCAAATTCTCCATACGTGCAGCAATGGCACCTCCCGCAAGTCTCCCAACCCGCCAGCTCGGCCAGAGCGGGCCCCAGATCACCGCTCTTGGGCTTGGTCTCATGGGCTTGAGTGTGGCCTACGGCACCCCTGGGTTTGTTCTGTACCTACTCTGGTATACTACTTCATGGCTGACCAGAAGAACCAGTTCTGACGATGAGCGTCTGAGCTTTCTTGATCATGCATGGGAGATTGGCGCCACGAACTGGGATACCTCCGCCCTGTACGGCGACAACGAGGTGTTGCTCGGCAAGTGGTTTAAGCTGCACCCAGAGCGCCGTGCCGACATCTTCCTCGCCACAAAGTTCGGTCTGCGCGGCACGGTCCAAGCAGATGGCACGTACAACATCCGTCCCGATAGCTCGCCCGAGTACTGCCGCGAGGCTTGCGAGAAGAGTTTGGAGAAGTTGGGCGTGGACATTGACCTGTATTATGTCCACCGTGTGGATCAAGTCACGCCGATTGAGAAGACTATTGAAGAGATGGTCAAGTTGAAGAAGTAAGACTCACACATTTGGACTTTCGTGGATGTTGTGCTGCTGACAACGAGTTTCAGCGAGGGCAAGATCAAATACTTCGGGATTTCGGAGTGCTCTTCCACAACCCTCCGCCGGGCGCACGCGATCCACCCAATTTCAGCGGTGCAGGTTGAATATAACCCATGGTCCCTCGAGATCGAAGGTCCCGCCGGCACCCATCTTCTGAAGACCTGCCGCGAGCTCGGGGTCACGGTCTTCTGCTACTCGCCGCTGGGCCGTGGCATGATGACAGGCAAGTACAAATCTGCAGATGGCTTCGTGGAGTCAGACTTCCGGCGCCAAATCCCACGATTCCAGGGCGAGAACTTCCGGAAGAACATCGAGCTTGTGGAGAAGTTTGGGGACATTGCGCAGAAGAGACACGGGTGTAGCGCCGGACAGCTCACGCTTGCGTGGCTGCTTGCGCAGGGAGATGATGTGATCCCGCTCCCTGGTACCAAGAAGATTCCGTACCTTGAAGAAAACTTCGGCGCTTTGAAGATTCGGCTGAGCGCCGACGAAGAGAAGGAGATCCGGGGGCTTGTTGACGAGGCGGATGTTCAGGGTGACCGGAGTGCTATGTTCGGCGCCTACGTCACTTCAGTGCCGCTGTAGATTGGATGCGGACTGAGAACTATTCCAGCACATTTTGTTTATTCACCATTTGGTTTCGGCTCCTTTGTTGTAGTCATTCTTTTAGAATTCCTGACCCTTATTCTTTGACATAGGTGTTGTCATTATTTCCAATCGCTATTTCTAGTGAGATGCTCGGGATGGGTCCCCGGCCCCGGTTCCGAGGCCCGAAATCTGGGGTACGTACGGAAACAGGCATCGAATGAGCACCATGAAAATGTAGCGACTCGCCCACGTCCAATGCAGAGATACTTCGCCTCGGGGAACGGGTCCGATGACCGGAGTGGATTCGGAGATCGGGGTGGGTCTCCGCTGATAGTGCAGCCGGGTGAACCCCGCAATTCGGGAGTTGGCCGCATTCTTATCATCGCCAACGTTTAACCGATCTTGATAAGAGCGCGAGTAGACTTGCCTATTGATAAAGGAACTCATGCAACTTGCGTTGGATGACATTTAGATTTTGTGAACTTTCGCATTTTGTACAGGCTCGAGTCAGTTAACTCCGTGGCCGCCGTTAGTTAACTCAACGAGGAATACTGCACTTCAATTCAATTCCTTTCTTGCCAAATCCCATTTCTCTTTATCATGACCGCAGTCTACAAGACGGGCGAGGACCATCGCCTCGCGTGTCGTTCGGGCGTCTTCGAGACCACCACGGCCGGTCAGGCCCCGACCCACTTGCAAGCAAACCTCATTGTCTTGCCCAAGCGCTATGCCGACGACTTCCGACTCCTCTGCCACCGAAACCCTGTCCCCTGCCCGCTCCTTGCCGAGTCAGAAAGCCCAGGTGACTTTAGCAAGCTCAAGTCATACGTCCAAAGCATCGATGGAAAGAGTCTTCTCCCAGTAGCCAAGAACGTTGACCTCCGTCATGACGCACCCCGGTACCGAGTTTATGAGAACAGCAAACACGTTTCCATCAACGGCGCTCTGGAACCTGTCAATGTAGCTGATCAATGGACTGACGGCGATCACGTTGGGTTCCTGATTGGATGCTCGTTCAGCTTCGAGAGGGCTCTTCACGAGGCAGGTCTCACGCCACAACACATGACGCACAAGCGCAATGTGCCCATGTACCGAACCAACATCCCGCTCTGCGCGGCGGGTGTCTTTACAGGAGCGACGTTTGTCGTGTCTATGAGGCCATACAAGGTCTCGGACATCGAGAAGGTTCGGGATATCACAAGGCCATTCGTGGCGACACATGGCGAGCCAGTCGCCTGGGGATGGGACGGAGCTGCAAGGATTGGGGTCACAGATGTTACGAAGCCACAGTGGGGAGATCCTGCCCTAAAGGATGATGGGAAGACGCTGTTTGGACATGATGACGAGGAGTATGTTCCGGTTTTCTGGGGATGTGGAGTTACGCCGCAAGAAGCTGTCATGAAGGCGAATTTGAATGGTACAGTTATGGGACACGCCCCCGGGCACATGATCTGTTTGGATATCCGAGAGGAGGAGATCTTCCCTGTTTGATTTCTTTCAGCTACAACTTTCATGTTCCATTGGTAAAAGCATGCCACGAGTAATGAAACCACCGCAATCGAATAACCCAGAGCGTAATATGGGAGGGATGACAGAGACGGCAAAGATGAAGGAATTCTAGGATCGTGGATCTTAGCTCAAAAATTGAGAAAACCTAGCACATTATCTGCTTTAGGGAAGCGAAGCTTCTGCGATGACTGTGCGACGGATCGCTCCGGATACCAGAGCCAAGCCTCGACATGCAAGGATGGCTTCGTGTCCAACAGCGTAATCCAATCAAGAGGTCACAAACCCGCATGCATTGAACCAACAACCACAAACAATCCAAATAGGTGGGGTGAGCCAACTTTCCCCTCACTTCTCCCGTCTGTTGGAGTTTCCTGAACGAACAAACAACATTGAACTTGAGAAAGGTGGCGCAAGATGATCGAGCCCACCGCTGACAACCCTCAAGCTGAGGTTTGTGCCCATTCAGATACTCCGTTACGGCATGACTCATTTGACATCTCGTAGGACACCCGCACTGACGACGACGCATCCTCAGTCGGCGATGCGGTAGGTTGCGCGATGATAACCTCGATGATTATGCGTCTTCTGACAGCCCATAGTCTACACAGGACTCATTGGCGTCTCTGAGATCAAGCATCTTAGACTATCGAAGAGAGAATGGCCGCACGTATCACCGGCTTAGTGACGGTAGTGAGTCTTATACGTCCCATTATAGGCGGTCGACTTACCGAACCCGTTAGAATATGTTCTTCCAAACGATGAGGTAGGAGTGGATCTCGCATATGACCCCGATTGAAGAATCTAACAGCGGTGCGTGAAGCGAGAGCAAGATCGCTTGGGTAAGCACAATCTGGCACCTGTGCGTGCAGCACTGACACGGGATGGCTACATGAAGATATTACCCACCATCTTTGGACCCTGACATGGGACGGCGAGCTATGCAACTGTCCCAAGAAAGACGGTGCCAAAAGGGTCTTGGATGTTGGCACTGGAACGGGAATTTGGGCCCTTGACTTTGGTTAGCTGTTCTCGGCCCATTGCGTGGCAACATACGGCGCTAACACTTGATAGCGGACGACCATCCAGAAGCATCGGTAGGCTATTAGGTTTCCTAAAGGAATATCTCAAACAAGTCGAAGCACTGACTTGCCCTTAGGTCATTGGTGTTGATCTCAGCCCTATTCAACCTGGCTAGTATGTCTATTTGAGCACTATGACGTTGCTGTACTAAGAATGCTTTCTGTCTAGCGTGCCGCCCAACTGTAGTTTCGAAGTCGACGACGTTGAGAAAGAATGGACTTGGACGGCGCCGTTTGACTTCATCTTCATCCGGGCCATGATCGCCAGTTTTAAAAGCTGGCCAGGCATGATTACAAAGGCCTACGAGTGAGCAAATGCTGAGTTCTGATTGACCGATCTAACACCGAGTTCATAGCAATCTCGAACCAGGCGGTTATCTCGAGATACACGACAATGACTTTCCATTGAAGTGCGATGACGGCACCATGACGGAGGAATGCAAAACCCTCAAGTGGACGAACCTACTGATTGAGGGAACTGATCTGATGGGCCGACCAATTACTGTTGCTAGGGACTTCAAGAAGATGCTCGAAGACGCTGGATTCGTCGATGTCGTCGAGAAGAAGGAGAAGTGGCCTTACACGCCCTGGCCAAAGGATCCAAAGTACAAAGAGTTGGGCGAATGGGATAAGGAGTCGGCAATGCAGGGAATCGAGGCCATCACCATGGCTCTGTTTACCCGTGTGCTTGATTGGAGTGTCCCAGAGACGACAGTCTTCTGTGCTGAGGTTCGAAATGAGCTTAAGAGGGTGGACATTCACGCCTATTACGACGTGTAAGTTTACTCTTGTATCGCATTTCGAGATGCTGGAACATTTGTACTGACCATGGCAGTTACTCTGTCTATGGCCGGAAGCCGGAGAAAGAAGCCTCGCAAGCCCCTGACAACAACACGGAATAATGGCACATGAATTCTACACGGTCTCTACACGATAGGAATGCAGTTCCATATAGTCGGTCGTTACCAATTGGTATGACAGAAATAAGGATGACCATGCGATAGAATCAAGCGCCATGAGCAGAGTCTACTTACTCTGCCATCAAGGTTCCTTCACAGATATAACCCCACCCTCATCGCCTAAGAATCCAACCATGCTCTGTCAGCCCAAGGCGCCAACGTGCTCCAGACTTGTTTTGTATCATGCTTTGCATCTCTTTCTGTTGAATGCTTCTTGTGCCTTTTTGCTCTAGGGCTTGCTTATCCTGCGAGTTTATGGCAAAGAAAGCTGGAAGAATCGAGCTCTTTGCCACCCCGAGCCCGGACTTCCTGGTATGGATAATGGCCACGCCCACCAGCAAAATTGACAGCAGGACTTGAGCTGATATGAAGGCCAGCCACCCCCATCGCACAAAGACGTACGTCTCCGTCACGTATGCTTCGCCAGTGACACTCGTTGAAGAGTCGACAAAGCTAGGGAACAAGACACAAATTAATCAGTCTGATCTGGGATGGAGAATAACGCGGCAAGAAGACTTACGTCGCGGTCACGCCTCCAGCCACGTTGTCAGCAATGTTTCTGATCGCGTCCCCAAGTAAATCTTCGCCTAAAGCTGCATCTTCGTTGCGAACGAGGTTGAGAACGTTGAAGTGTCTAGTCGATGCGAGACCACGAACATGTCCATATTCTCTTTCCCAGGTCTCAAAATATGTGTTGTTGAACGCAGCTGTTAAGCTTACATTCAGGACGACTGTCACTGCTCATGATAGCGCAGGTCTTGCCGACAGCAGAGTCAAACGTGGTGGGTACGTCACTGTAGACTGGGTTAAGGTTGACGTAAGGATGGATGTAACGAGAAGAACCATTGAGATAATTCCTGGTGACCTGGAAGCCAGGTACGTCGGTAGAAGTAATGTCCCTAGGTTTACAATTACTCACTACCCCTTCGTAGTCTTCAGAAGTTGGAGTGGCCCACACGCACCCCGGCTAGCCTTGTCGAAGTCCTGAAAATCATTCAAAGACCTTTCTTTGCGATACCAGAGCCACTTTAGCTGTGAGATGCCCCCGCCTACGGGTATCAAAAATGCAGCGCGGGCGAGCGTGAATAATAGGGCGACGACGATATTCAGGGTCAGCCCGAGCGGCCATTATGGCAGTCCCTGATTGTCGAAATGAAGAAGCACGCCAGCCAGGGTGGTCACGAGCGCGATGCTGGCGAAGTACAAGAGAAGTTCCTGCCAACAAGCAAGAAGTGTTGTACCCCATGATTTCGATTCATCATGCATTCTCTCAGATACTGTCATCATGTTCATCGGCCGTGTTGTCCTTTGAACGAGCATTTGTCGTGGCTGTTGGTGTCTCTGTCGATTGGTTGGAAAGGCCCGATGTTGCGCTGATGCTCTCGGTGGCCGATGACGGCATCAACATAGGAGGAGTTGGGCTGGGATATGCGACAACTCTGTTTTGTTCCAGCGAGTCTCTGTTATAGAGCAGAAATCTCAGATCATCTGCCGAAAGCGCTAGGGATGGGTCATGAGTAGAAGTGTTCTGCTGATGCCGAGTAAGAGATTGAGATTCTGGTTGGTATTTGTCCGTGTTTTAGCCACCGTGTGTTTCAGCACCATCAGCAAATGGCTTCCTTTTGATGGACGATGCGGATGGCTCCTGGGCTTCTTCCATCTTGAATGAAGGCAATGTGTGAAGAAAGTTGTATTCCTTTTGTCGGTCTTCAGAGAATCTCAGGACCGAAGGTTTAAGTGGATAACAAGGTTTCTATAAACTTGCCAGAAACCGCAGGGGAATGAGAGGTCATAAATCGGTTGCAAGGCGAACTACATCGCATCTTGGGCCTGCCGCCAGACTGAGTATAAATAAGGTAAGAGGAGTGATCGTAGCCACGCCATATTCAAGGCAACTAAAACACCGTACATTGACTGGAATGGCATGGCTACCTATGTAAAAGTCTGCGAAAGGAGCGAATAGACTGCAGATCTACGCAAGACCTTTTACGGCGAGCTGAGTCTAATCGCCCTCGATTCTGCTTGAACCAATTACAAGCCCTCGCAAGAAACCATGGTGCCGAATATGACAGTAAGATGTACAAGTATCTGAGATATGTGGCTGGCCTGTCTCATGCACAACACCAGCAGCAGTCTGCAGGCACCGCTGTAAGGCTGACATGCCTCCCTCGCAACTGACAGCAACAAATCATGCCTCTTTCGGTTTGAGCAGACCATTCTGTAATTTTTGGACGACATGATACGATATTCACTCCTCGCGAAGCCGCCACCTACGAAGCCATGAGTTGAGGCTGGCGACTAAATCCATCAGCGACTCGTTACGCCTCTCTTCCTCCTCATCGTCATCTTGGTGTCCGCCTCTATCGTTCTCTCTGTCGTCCTCTCTATGGCCCTATTCTGCAATACCGACAACCATAGCCATTCGCGCCGTTTGATACGCCGTAGGTGATTGTCTTTCAAGACGCCCTCATCGTTGTTCTCAGCAGCGACCTGGCCTGGCATCCTTCCTTGGATCTGTAAAATCTTCAGCTGAGGCATGGGTTTTCTCCAAACGGCGAAGAGAACATACACCGTCGACCCTTTGAAGGCAAATGGTTCTTTGACCTGTTGAGAATCATAAGCATGACCCTCCTCATGTGTCTTTTGCTCTGAATCTCCTCGGCTACAATGACAATCAACAACTAATACTGGAAATTTCCGACTCAGCAACATGCCTGCCAGACTTGCCTACAGTCTCAGCTTGACCAAAGCGCAAACTTTGAATGGACATCCACGATTGATTTCCACCTCGCCAGTTACATGATCCCTTGGGAACGTGATTCTATAAAGCAGAAACTTTTGTATTTGCAGTAGCTCTTGGGGACATCAGCACTCCATCTATGAGAGTGTATCTATGATACGAAACCAGGAAGGCGGCGGGAAGCCAAGACATGATTCTAGATGATGTCTCCTGGTTCGCCTGTCCTTCGGAGAAGCCAACCAAACCGCCTTATCCACTCCTCAAATTCCCGTCGCTCCAAATCACCCTGGGTATGCAAATCCCAACTACTACCAAACTTGCGCTCGCATTCAACTTGGCGCTCCTCAGTCGCATCCAAGGTCGTCAAGTGACGTGAAAGAGAGCCAAAAGAAGTCGATGAAAAGTAAGTCGCTCAAGTCATGAAGAGCGAAAAGCGTTGTATGAAATGCTGAAATGAATCGTAAAATGTAAACGCGAAAATCGGTCGCGCAGGTGTTGGTAAGAGATGCAATTGTGTTGCGGAACCGAAATCGCAACACGCCGGTTTCGGTGTGCATGTACTGTTGGAGACCACCAAGTCTCTACTCTTTGTCGGAGCCGCCAGATCCATCCTCGTCATCTGAAAGACCGATCACGTCATCGTCATTGACTTCAAACTCAACCTCGTCGTCATGAACGACAAAATCGGATAGGTCTTCCTCCTCTGCAGCTGCACGTCTGGCAGCTCTGGAGCCAGGCATGTCAAGGTCATCTTCATCATCCTCATTATCTGAGTAGTCCGCGACGACTTGCATGACGCCATTGCGGTGAACTACCTTGCCCAGAAGCCTAGCAATGTCCTCAAGACCGACCTTGGGGGTTCTGACTCCTTCGTCCTGAAGTGCTGCATCGATTCGAAGGATCTTGTTGACTTGCATCGCAAGCATGCGCTTTTCGATGGGCGTATCAACAATGAAGCGCACGAAATGCGTTTCCTTGATCTGTCCGATTCGAAAGACACGCGAAAAGGCCTGTTGCTCGACGGCGTGGTTCCACCACAGCTCCATGAGAATGACTCGGTTACCTCGAGTAAGATTCAGACATTGGCCGCCGGCACGAAGCGACACAATGAGGACCTTGACGACGTCGCCTTCCTGAAAGTCTTTGACAGACTTCTCGCGCTGCTCGGTTGTCTGCTTGCCGCTGAGGTACGCATATGGGATTTCTTCACCTTCCAGCATGCGTCCTATGATCTTCATGACAACGTTGAACTGACTGAAGACTAGCCAGGTTGTTAGGTTCAATAGCTCAGAGAAACATGCGCAATACGTGGCTTACCAATGATCTTGTCTTGAGGAGCCTCCGCTTGCCATCTGAGAATAGTTTCCTTCAACGCCGCCATCTTGCCGCTCGGTGTGACGGGAGCATTGGTCTTTTTGTCGCTGATCTGCAGAAATCGGATGGGTCTTTTGCCTTTTCTATCATCCTCATAATGCTGAAAGCCGTTGTGATCGAATCCATAATCGTAGTCCTTGTCGTTAATCTTCTGGCGACGTTTGACTTCAGGCGCCGGGTCAGACTCATCATCGGAGTCACCACTGTGGAACGCTTCGAGAGATTTTGGTATGCCAACAACCTTTCGGCAGCTAGGACAAATCCGTCCCTTTGAACGTGTCAGCATTGAGAGCACCTCGAATAAAGAAGCATAATCGGTTCATACCTTGGTAGTGGTGTGTACTATCAAACATTGAGTGCAGAATATGCAACCGCACTGTTTCGTTAGCTTGGGCATTTGAAATCATTTCGCAAGATAGCTTACCTGACCCTTGACTGGATTGACTGGGGGGTTAACCTTGCAAACTGTGCAGCTAGCCTCTGCAATCTCTTCCATTCGCTCCAGGTACTCGATCTGCTTGTCCATGTCGAAGTGCAGCCCAAAGTCGCTTCGACCAAATGGGTCAAGAGGGGGAACCTCTGGACGGACAGGCTTTGATGCAGGAGTCGGATCAGCCGCTCTCAGGTACTCTTCAGGGACCATACCGTCAGAATCCTCATCCGTGTCATCCAGGCTGTCAACCTCGTCCGAGTCGTCATTCGTATCCTTGGCGTTCTTGGTGGATCGCCTTCCAGGTTTCTTCTGGGAGGCATTTGATCCAGAGTCCTCATCGATGAATGCCTCTTCGTCATCCTCTTCGAAAGTTCCGTAGCTCGTAAAACGAGCCTCCTTGCGTCGTTGTTTCTCCCTCTGTTTCGCAGAAGCTATAAGAACCTTCTTAATCCGTTCGTTCGACATCTCGTGGCGCTGATTCCAGGAGCCAATTTGCTCGTAGATTGTCTTCTTGCCCTTCAACTCCGCAAGCTTCTCTTTGGTCAGGCGAAGATCTCTGAGAGTGAAGTATTCGTTCATCATGCTTTCGAGTAAGAAAGGATGGGTCGCAGCCTGTCGAAGACGAAGGAGGATCGTCAGATAACTTCGAACTTGTTTCTCTGCGTAGCCGTCGCCTTCTTGCAAGTCTCGATTGATTCTGCGTCTGAAGCACCGTTCCATCATTCTGAAGGACATGTTAGCTATCTCCTTTTAACATGGGCTTTTCAAGATGCATCTTGCCTGAATATGACGGTCTCCTCATCCGACAGCTGTAAATGCTGATGCGTCGGAAAGGTTGGCGGGAGATTGAGGATTGGCTGGCCCAAGAACCAGTCGTTTTGAGTTCTATCCCAGGTCGTCAGAATCTCAAAGTCCCATTGGAGAAGTATGTATGATAACTCACCTCCTGTACATGATTTGATGGATGAGCCTGCAGTGCTTGGTTCGAGCTGCTTTCTTCGAGGTGTGAGTGCTTTGGACGGAACTGGGCAATGAGAAACTTACGCCGTTGTGATACTCCTTCACGTAATCATTGAAATTGTCAATACCGTGGCAACGAATAAATTTGAGGTAAGAGAAGAACTCTGCGCATTGTTAGAAGTGTAGATGTCATAGTCAAGTTGGGTCACTTGCCAAAGTGAGAGTTGATGAGCGGGGTTCCGCTAACGACCCATCGGTATTTGGACTGGAGCTCAAAGCAAGCAAACGCTCCTGCAATTGCACCGTCAGTGAATAATCTTCAGTCCATCAGAGTTGGATGTGGCTCACCATGTGTCAAGTGGTTCTTAATGGAATGAGCTTCATCCAGAACAACGCGATACCATTTGATGCGGTGCAAATCTCCAGTATTCTCAGCTAACCATTCATTGTACTTCTCGGTGTCCAGCAGCTCTTTCTGCATTTCTTGTTGCTCTTTTATCGATGGAATACTGGCTCTAACCTGGTGGTAGGTTGCCAAACTGGATACTTTTGTTAGCCCAGTCATGCTATGTGGATTGGTCGCCTGCTCCTTACACAATGTTGAAGGACCCCAAAAGGTCGATACTCATCTTGTTTTGGCGCTTGTACTGCACCATGTCTCTCGCAAACCGCTTTCCGCAATGCTTGTTAACCTCGGACATCCAGACACCAATCATTTGCTGAGATGGGCAGACCACCAGTGTTGCGCCTTGGCCTTTGTCCTTGAGCCGGTCTGAAGATGGGTTGCCCGAAATGCATGACAATGTCTCAATGGTCTTGCCCAGTCCCATGGCATCGGCGAGTATTCCGCCTCGAGGAAGTCTTGGTGTGTTCTTTAATTCGCGACCCATCATCCAGGCGCCGACGACGATTTGGTGATTGTGCAAGGGGTTGATCAAGACCCGCCGGACTTCCCACTTCCCGTTCTTTGGTCGAACGCCCCAAGGCCCCCAAGCCTTTGTCGAGTCTCGGAGTTCCTTCTCCTGCTTCTCAAGAAGTTCCTTTTCAAAGTACTCAGGAGCCGCATTCCTCATCTGTCTCAGCTGATCCTCCTTCCTGGTGGCCCTGATGTCCGGCTCGGCTGGTAGGTCGCCCTGTTGAGATCGCTCCAGAATGGCGTCGAGAGGTCGGAGCATTTCGGCGATCTGACGTTCTATCTCCCCGATGGCTTCTTGGTCATCTTCGTCGCTTGAAGCGCCATCGCCTTGAGGTTTGGCGGAAGTCACTGAAGTTTTGGCCTTCTTGGTTTGCGCCGTCTTGCTTTTTCCGGTTCTCTTGCGTCCATTTTCTCTTAGCTCTTGCTTTTTCTTCCGCTCGTTCTCTGCTTGCTTGGCCCAGTACTCCTCTTTGGTTGTGACCTTTCGTGGCTTCTTTGCTTTTTCGTTGATGGGCTGCTTAGCATCGTCAGCTTGATGAGGAATGTTGGAGCCTTTGGCGCCGTTCAGCTGCGCCGTGATCTGCAGCAACTGGGACAGCTCTTCTGGACTCAATGCACCGCGCAAAGCTTTGTCTGCTAGCTCTGCCCTTTCCTTGTTGAGCTTTTCAATTTCAGCTTCATCCTGATTGTGACGAGGCACGGCTGCAATTGAAATTTCCTCTGATGTTGAACGCTTGACCTGCGGGCTTTCTGGCAACTTAGTTTCTGTCTGTGGCTCCTGCTTGACGTTGGTAAGATCGGCATGAAAGTGACGGGGCACAGCCCATCTCTCTTGTGCATCGGCAGAGGCTTCAGTGGCGTCAATGATCATGAAGTCGTCATCAGATATCGGGTCCGCCTCGACATGAAGCTGAGGTTCAGAAGGTGAGTTGTCGACTTGGCACTCTTCGTTGGGAGAGACGAACAGCTCGCTGAACTCTTCATCGGGTGATTGAAGACCTGTTCGCGCGTGGTCGCTTGCCCCAAGACTCGAATTCTGACTCTTCTCAAGCTCCTGGCGGATTGTTTGGTCAATGATGTCTTCCTGTTGAGTGTCGTCATAAATCGCCTTTTTAAGAACCAAAAAGCCTTGCATCTCGTCTTCATCTGAATCCCCAACGTCTGTGAAAAAGAACTTCCCCTTGTTGGGCTTGCCGGTTTTCTCGGGCTCCTCATCTCTGGGAGGGGTTGCCATGTTGGAACTGGAGCCTTGCTTTTTCCGGCTCTGTGAATGTTCAGCGAGGGGTGAAGAAAGTTCAGTGTTGCTGGTCATGTGAATCAAAAAAGGTCTGGCGATGCGATCATGTCGGCACTTCGGAGTCGATGCAGAGAATTGTTGTGAAGAGTGGCAGTGAGAAAGGTGGCAGTGAGAAAGGCAGGTGTGATCGTGAGAGGTGAAGTAGACGAGTAAAGAGAGAAGACAAGTTCTGGCGAAGGTGTTTTTTCCCAATGAGGAAGGACCGGAGTGAGTCGTAGAAGATACAGGCGCGCGAGGCACTCGAGGTAAGACTGCCGGTTTCTGCTTGGAGGATGAAGAATTGAAGAAGAAAGATATGCTGAAGGTTGGATTGTGAGGTGCAACCTGAGGGTGCGGGTCGAAAGAGGTGAAAAGGGATGTTGTAAGGAAGAAAGGTTTGTGTGTGGAGTGAAGATGGATAGGTGATGGAATGGGAGAGGCAAGTTGAGGTTGTTGTGAAAGGTAGGAAGAATTGTGTGAGGTAGGGTGAAGGTGGAGAAGTTCAGGCGAGGTTATTTTGAAGTTCAGGGCCAATAAATATCTTCTCAGAAGGGGAACTGCAGTTTTTCGCCGTTTAGGGAAGGCAAGTCCCTTTTGCAGTTTGGTAAGAAAGAAAGAGCCGCGATATCATCAAGAAAAGGAAGGGGCGATTACTAGAGCGAGCATTTACGGAGGGAAGGATCGATCATATGAAAAAGGAAAGAGGCAAGGTGGCAATGATACACAGGCAAAATATAGCAACCAGAAGGGGGTACGGAAATCGAGAGTACGGAAGCAGATGAACACAGTTGAAATCAATCGCTAGTCTATTGCTCTAAACCAAAATCATCTACAGCTTCATTCCCTCAAGAACCGCAGGAAGGCCCTCGCAATAGCAACGCCGTCATGCTCAATATTCGCGCGGTTGATAGCATCGGTAAACATATCATCGCTAAAAATGCCCGCCTTGTGGCGGACGTTCAGAACCTCACTGACGATGGGGCCGGTGAACTCGGGGTGGCCTTGGACGGTGATGTACTTCTTTGGCGCGTAAAAGCCCTGGACAGGGCAGAGATCGGTATAGGCAAGAGACTCAGCGCCGGGAGGGTTGGCGGTGACGACATCGCGGTGCATTTGATGGATGCGCTGGCAACCCGGTCAGTCCTTCCGTACTCATCTTCAAGTCAAGCATATGTGGAAGGAGCATACCATTTTATCCAACTTGAACAGCTCCTTTCCCTTCTCCGTGAGATTCACATCGACAACAGCCACCTCCCAGCCCAGCTCACTCCTCTTGACCTCAACCCCCAGCGCGCGGCCGATAATCTGGTGGCCGAAGCAGACGCCAATGACCCTCACCCTGTCGCTCTCGATGCACTTCTTCGTAAAATCGACCAGCTTCAGGATCCACGGGTCGTTGTCGAAGGAGTTGTGTTTGCTACCTGAGATGAGGATGGCGTCGATGGAGTCCAGCTCGGGGTAGACCGCCTCGTCGCCGACGGCGTGGTACACCGAGATATCGAGGATCGAGTCCAGCGGCGCGGGCGGCTCAGAGGAGAGCGCAGCCAAGCGCAATAGTGAGGTGAAGACGCCGCCGTAGCCGCCATACTGCGCATTCGTCTGCGGCTGCGGCGTGTCTGCCTCGATGATAGCGAGGCGAATGCGCGGTGCTTGGGAACCCATCTTGTCGATCGTTTCGCTGAAATATGTACTGGATATTCAAAAAGGGGGAAGAAATGAAGTAATTCGATACGAGATGAACCGTGTATGTAAGATATTTAGATCTATGAGATGAAAAGTGACAAGAAGCGCAAGGGGAACAAAGCGCCGACGAAAAGGAACAAGAAGAGAAGCCTCGCGCCCTTTAGAGGACAAAGAAGCCGTTGTCACCGCGGTCCCGGACGAGCCACGATTCAAGTGTCCAGTGACAAATTGCCCCGCGATGATGGGCCCAGGTGGCGCCGATAGCGGGGAGAAAGGCGCGATAAGCGATATCGGACCGCGCTGCACTGATAACGCGCTTACGGCTGGCTGGCGGGGGAGCTAGGTACAGCTTGGGGAGTTCCTGCTGTGTCACCTCCACGACCCCTCCAAACACGCCGACGTCATTCCCTGTCTTATTCTACCCTGCGGTTCGTCAGCAATCGTGATCCCGGTTGCAACTTCGTCCCTTCGAAACACCACGCCAAAAGGGTGACAGACTCGAAATGTCTGCCAGGACATCTCTGCGCGCCTTCCTCGCCAGCGCCCGCTCTGCGCTGGTCGCGCCCGCTGCGCAGAGAAAGAGCCCTTTGACGCTGGTCGTTGGAAACGAGTCTGCAGGTACGTTTCTTCCCCAAGTCCTTATTCATTTATCTTGAACAAGACAAAGCTGACGATACCGGACCAGACCTCGACTCCCTCTGCTCCGCCGTCATCTACGCCTACCTCCGCACTACGAACCCCCCGCACAACCTGCACATCCCCATCTCCAACCTGCCCCGCGACGACCTCAAGCTGCGGCCTGAAATGACCGCCGCCCTCGCCCACGCCGACCTCAAGCCTGCCGACCTGCTCACCCTCGACGACATCCTGCCGTCCCTCCCCGCGGACGACACCCGCTGGGTCCTTGTCGACCACAACGCGCTCACGGGCGCTCTTTCAAAACGGTTCGCGAGCCGCGTCGTGGGGTGTGTGGATCACCACGCCGACGAGGGCGTGGTCCCGACGGATACCGCGGAGGAGCCGCGCGTGGTGGAGAAGTGCGGCAGCTGCGCGAGTCTCGTGGTGGAGTACTGCCGTCAGGCGTGGGAAGCTGCTGCCGTCAAGGGTGTGGAGGGAAAGGAGGAGGATGCGCAGCTGGCGAGGCTGGCTTTGGCACCGATCTTGATCGACACGACGAACCTGCAGTCCAAGGACAAGACGACTCCCAAAGACATCTCGGCCGTGCAATTCCTGGAAAAGATTGCGGGCGCAAAGTTTGATCGGGACGCTTTCTTCAACGAGATCTCTGCCGTGAAGGAGGACATCTCATCGCTCGGCTTCCGTGACATCTTCCGCAAGGACTACAAGCAGTGGGACGACCAGGGCTCCGGTCCGAAGCCCGCAGTCATGGGTGTCTCGGCTGTGGTGCAGAATCTGGAGTACCTGCTCTCCAAGGCCGACGGAGACCACGGCGTCCTGCTCGAGGAGTTCAGGAAGTGGGCTGCGGAAAGGGAGCTGGATATCGGGGTCATCATGACGACGGCGCACCCTGATGGGAAGTTCCAGCGGCAGCTATTCATTTGGGCGTTCAACAGGAACGCTGTTGAGGTATGCAAGAACTTTGTAAAGGGGTGGAAGGATGACCTGGGTCTGGAGAGCTGGGGTGAGGGGAGGTTGGACCAGGTTGGGGAGGACGAGTGGCGGATGGCGTGGAGTCAGGGCAACATCCGACACTCCAGGAAACAGGTTGCGCCAATGTTGAGAGAGGCTATCAAAGGCGAACCCAGACTTTAAGGGCAAGGCTGGGTGTTCATAAGAATAAACGAAAGAATTGCCTTCCAATTTGCCTGCTAAAGAAGCAACTCTCAAAAGCCCGGACATGGATTGGGGCACTGTATCCAACACCGCCGCATGCATATGTACGGCTATATCCTATGCCAGAACGACTACATTTCCTGTGGGCAGAGGTATAATCTGAAACATCGTCGTTGTTGGCGCTGTCGCTATCGTCGCTTTTGCCGTTGGTGTTCCAAGTTGTTTCTTCTATCATTGTCTCTACCACTGCCGTTGTCCTTGTTGTCCTCCCTCGTTGTCATCTTTGTTATCTTTGCTATCCTCCTTGTTCTTATCATCGTTCTCTTTGTCACCTCCATTGTTATTGTTATTCTTATCATTTCCACTAACATCATCTGTATTATTGGTTTCAATCGAAGTCTAAGTCTTAGTTCAACACCGAGAGCGCAGACATAGAAAACTCAAGCGGTGTTATGTATAACATGGCATTCCCAGTGTCAATTAATAGACAACGCAGTTTTGGATCTTAAAACCTCATAGATATTGGACTGCACCAACTCGGCGAAGCGAGATCTATGGCGACTACACATTACACCCCAGCACATCGGCCCACGATCGCCGACAAAGCATGCCTTCATCGATACTTTTCAACATGATTTCTCATCACTCATCAACCATCCACGCAAACCCTTGTCGCCTTGACTTACGCAACCTCGGCGACAATGGCATCCAACCACTTCGCCAACCTACAAACACAGCCAGTCAGCTTCGCCAAACTCTCAAAACACACTGCAATCAGAAGAACTCACCTGTACCCCTGCTTCGCAATCTGCATGCTCACAGTAGGCTGCGCGCTCGTCGTATACGCGCCGCTAATATCCAGCCCCTCCACGCCAGCGCGGCCCTCGGGCAGGACCACAGTGCACACGAACGCATTGCTCTCCGTCGCCCACTGCAGCGCCATGTCCTGCGGGTCCGCCAGGCTCAGTCCCTGCGTCCAGCACTTGGCCGCGCTCTTGAAGTCGCCGGCGCTGATCTCGGTGCTCAGGTTCGCGGCCCACGTCTTGGCGACCGCGAGCCCGCTGCCGCCGGAGATGCTCTGCGGGATGTTGGTGTCCCACGCGGCGTGCAGGTTCGTGCTGGCGCCGGCGAACTCGACGGCGATGCCGTTGCCGCCGAGCTCGAGGTTCTCGCAGTGCAGCGGCTGGCCGATGTCGCCGGTGAAGTGGATGACCATCTTGGCGGCGATTTGGCGCTGCTCCAGGGACAGGGACGGGGTGAGCATTCGCGTGGTGTAGTTGGCGAGCGCGGAGACGATGCAGCCGGTGGGCCCGCAGTCGCGGTCGAAGTCGACGCCGCAGGAGGCCGGGGGGTCGTCGAGGGCGTCGATGTAGTGGAAGGTGGAGGTGAAGGCGCCCTCGGTGGTGTAGCGGTAGGAGTCGGCCCAGCTGGAGACGGAGGCGAGGTAGTCGTCGGAGGTGTCGCCGAGGAGCTGCTGCATG